GGGGGTGAAAGATTTTGCCGCCATTTTTGATGGCTGGGTTGAGAGGTTCGCTGCCGGTCGTGCCCAATTCCTGCTATGCAAAGATGCCATCAGCTTTGCGAATGATCACTGTATATTAGGCCCTCGGTATTTTGGTCAGAAGTTTGATCAACTTTGGAACTACGAGGTGCATCCTGTTCGTGCTCTAATTCCGGCCTGTCGCAAAGGGGGCCTTGATTGGTCGAATTGGAACAAAATGCTTCCTCGGTTCTTTCCAAAAATTGACGTGTCGAGTGTCAAACTTCATTGGGCAGATTGGGTGAAGAGAATGGAGCCTCATTACAGGGCTTGTTGGCTTGATAACGGCATCTATCATGCCATTACTTGCTCAATCGTTCAGCCACATGCCGATTCTCCTCTTCTGGGTTCTGCCCTGGTCTTTTGGAACAGCGCCTCCAACACTTTCGATTTTGGGGTCGGGCCTATGTCGATTTCCATTCTTGATCTTGCAGTGATTTTTGGATTTCGTCCTCATGGGCGGAGTGCTGACTAGTTAGGGGATTTTCAAGACGGTCCTTCTCAGGAGAAGGAGAGGAAGAAGAACCTCGAAGTCCTTACTAGTTTAATAGATTCCAATTGGGCCTATGGGGCTTTCATGGGGACCTTTATGGATCATTAGGTTGATTATCCTGATGGGGAGCATGTGATGTTCCTGTTGTACTGGCTGAACAGGTTCATTTTTCCCAGCGCTTCTAACTGTATTACCATGGAATGGCTTCATCTGGCAGAGGGTCTATCCTCCTATAGGGACATTGCTACTGGTCCCTTGATTCTGGCTTCCATTTACAGAGCTTTGAGGGAGGCGACAGTGGAGCCCATCAATCTTAACGTGAAAGGGCCCTTATGGATGGTTCAGGTCTGGCTCCAGTGGACTTTTCCAGAGTTGCGGGCTCGAAAATTGCGGGTCGCCTCTAATGCCGTACCCTTAAGGGAACTACTTTTGAATACTGCTTCTGGTAAGACCACCGAAGAGTGTTTTACCTTCTTTTTGTGCCGGAAAATCAAGCATGCCTTCCAATGGATGATGAATCTCAAAAGGAGTTCACCTTGGTTCGAAAATCGACCAATTTACCAGGGTCCTCGAGGTGGAAATGCTCCCATGGCCTCTGAGAATATGGACATTTTCTCATGCCTGCAGACGCGAGACTTGCCTTGTGGTGGGAGAATGGACTCCAGAAACTATCAGTACGGGGTAGAAGCCTACAGTCCCCAGTTTTTTAGCAGACAATTCGGATGCCCCTAAGTGATACCTGAATTGGACTATTCCTTAATCAATAAGGGTTCGTCCTACAGATTCCCCAGGTTAAATAAGGAGGATCTCTTGGGCATTCGGGCCAAGAATGGGGAGTCAGCCCGAATTCTGGAGTTGAAGCCCTTCCATCCTGA